CAGAGCAGACGTCCGAGCCGACGGCCGCGATGGCGTCGTCCAGCTCCTTTGCACTCGTAGCCGTTGGAGTGCTCGCCGGCATGCTCATGCACCTGCCCGCGCGCGGCGCTGTCGCCCTCCTCCTGGAGCCGCTCGAGGCGGCAGCCCGCTGCTGCTCCGTCTGCAGGGGCTGCGGGACCTGGAGCTGGTCCTGGAGCCGCTCCAGGAGGAGGGCGACAGCGCCGCGCGCGGGCTGGTGCATGAGCATGCCGGCGAGCACTCCAACGGCTACGAGTGCAAAGGAGCTGGACGACGCCATCGCGGCCGTCGGCTCGGACGTCTGCTCTGCTCCAGGACCAGGGCCCCGCCCCCACCCCGGCCCCGGTTGCCGGCACCGGCGGGGCGAGGAGGGGCGTATGTGTCCCCGGGTCCGGTCCGGGGCACCGAGCGGGGCAGGAATTCGATCACGGGTCTGGCAAATTTTAAATCATGTTTTTCTTTTAAAACAGGTGCTGATGCTGATGGAGACTCAGAGTCAGAAGAGGACGACGATCCAGATGATGACGTCGAAGGCTACGACCCCATACCCATGACGACAGTTCTGGACGGCGAGCTGGATGCGACGCTCCCCCCTCACCAGCGGTGTGCCGCGCTCATCGTTAACCTTCTCGGCACCCAGGACATCAAGGTAGCCCTGGAGCTAAATGCCAATTTCAAGACAATGCACGAGAGCACAACAAAAAAGCTAAAGGAGTGGTGGAGGCGGCAGAACCGCTCAGACCTAGTAGCTGCTGCCATCCAGGAGGGTCTCGGGGTGAAGCTGCAAGTGCCGGGGGACACTAGGTGGAACTCCCAGTACGATGCCCGTGCTCAGGTGAGTACCTGCCAGTACGCGCGTAATGTCACTGCTCTAATTTTCCTTTTACCTTCTAAAACTTTATTTTATTTCAGATTGTGAAACTATTGGATGGACACGACCAGAAGCTCAACGATACCTTGGAAAAGTCTGGCCTAACGAAGCTAACATCTTTCGAAGCTAAATACCTGCGCGAGTATGTTTGGGTAATGGCACCGGTGGCGCAGGCCCTTGACATTCTACAAAGGGACAAAGACATGTTTATTGGGTACCTGATACCCACTGTACTCAGCATGGAGAAGCAACTAGAAGCAAGACGCAACATGGATTCGAAACCTCTCAGGTACTGTGATCCTTTGGCAAGAACCCTCAAAAGCGCCATTCGGGAGCCTCAGAGGTTTGGCCATATTTTAGAGGATCGT